TTGACAGTTTGTAAGATCATTCTGAGGCCAGTATAAGAGCTAGAAGGCAGAATTGTTAGGATCTGTGGCGTGAACAGGTGTCTGTTTATTGGACATGGAAGAAAATAAAAAGAAGTACAGTGACAGGTGCAGACTTGAGCTGAAGGGTGAATGCAGGGGGTGCAGGTGGCCCTACCAGGTGCTCCCGGGCCCGTGCTACCTCTGAGACGAACGGGGTTTGCAAGAAAGGCTTGTCCTGACCTCTCCAGCTTGAAGAATATTCTCTATGAGGAGCAAGAAGTGGAATCTGCATATAACTCAAAAGCTAACAGAAACTTTCAGAAAGGCAGGTCATAGGTTATGCCTAAACCCAGAATGTAGTGGCATGGGATGACTTCCAGAAATGTAGGAGTGAGGGAATCTCAAGACTTGGCTAAACAAAGGTGAGCTCTCCAACTCATTGAGCTTGGGTAGATCATGTGCCCCAAGAAGTCTGCATAGAGAAGCATTTCTTGCCTGCAAAGAATCCAGCCTAAACCCCAGCCCCAAGAAGGCACTCACTGTCATTGGTGGTCAGAGCAGAAGTGACAGCAGTGAGTGGTCAGAGTGCTGTTATTTGGCACAAAACATTGAGTGACGAGCCAGATTCCACAAGGTGCCATCACCACAAATGGGGATGAAATTCAGGTGTTCCCGTTCCTTAACCAACACTGAGGGCCGACCTGAGATCTCAAACAAAGGGATAGGTGGAAGGTGCTATTTATTATCAGCCACTATTGACTGCTTTGCAACACTAAAACAGATATCAAAATCGTACAATGATATTCACACACCATCAAGGAGTTAACAAGTCACCAACACAAGGTGGCTGGAAGCGGGTCATCCAGGCAGAAGCCTGCCCTCTGCTGGACATAATGATAACAACTTGGATGAAAGCGGAAGGAAAAGAAGTCTCAGGATCAGAGAGAAATATCCTGGCTACTTCCAAGACCCCACAGACATTAAGGGAGAGACACAGGAACTTACAGAACAATCAATGGATATACGGGTATATCATCTCCAGACCTGTATAGTCTTTAATGATCTCTGAAGAAAAAAATCACAAAATGCCACTTAGAACAATGCCCTACAGTTCACATCCCTTTCCCCAACCCTTTATGGGGCTTTCCCCTATATCCATTTTCCCTCCTTGGATCGCTTTTCCACTCACTGAGAAATCAAAGCATTTTCTGGTAAAGCCTATTTAGGGAGCTGTTTGAGCAAATGGGGTTTGAAGTACTGGCTCCTGAGAGGCCTGTCAGGACCAGGAGACGCCAGAAGGATGTGGCAGATGGCGTCTCCTACTTCCTGCTCCCTGGCTTAACCCCAGAGCCAGCCACATCTCCACACTCCTCACCTGCTTTCCTCATTCTCCCTTTGCCATCTGATGGGGTTCTATTCAAATAAGTTTCTTGCACATGTGATACAACTCTACTGTATCTTGAGCCTTCCTCCTTCCCTCAAATTATTCTAAAACCATCCTCTATGACATTATCTAAAGCTTCCCCTTTTCTAATATTTACAGTGTCTTAGAATAAGGTTTACAGGCTCGTGGTACAATCGCCACTGTTAGCTCTAAACAATCTCTTCTAAAGAACTATATATACTCTTTAGTTCTAGTATTCTAGCATTTGGTGAACACGTCTCAAATTATCGTAACTGTTTTGTCTGACTGTTTAGGCTCCTTCTTTCTACACTGAAAGTTCTAGGCTTTCTTCTGTCTATTTTCGTGCGCAGGCTACTCCATTCTCTGATCAATTTAAGAGTGTTCTATGGCTTGGTTCTGGTTTTAAATGAGGAGTGAGATTCATACTAGAAAGTGAACAAAGATAATTCTGCACCCCAGGCAGCCCCTGTAAAGCACAGATACCTTCCTGAACACAAGCATAAAGATCCTGAACCCAGTTGACAAAGCTCATCTAAATAGCGATTTTTATAAAGGGACATATACTGCTATCCACACTGTTTTACATAGGCCAACAAACCTCAGAAAAAACAAAAAACAAAGTCAAAAAAACAAAAACAAACCCAGAACACAAAACAAAACAAAAAACCAAAACAAACAAAACAACAACAACAACAAAAAACCCAAACCAAAACACAACAAAAAACAAAAAAAAACCCACAAAAAACAAAAAAACCCTGAAGCCCCCAGTTACGGAATGGATAGGTCACAGGAATAAAAGGTTCAGCATAGGGAATGTAATCAATGGTATTGTAATAGTGATGGATGGTGACAGATGGTCGCTACACTTATGGTGAGCACAGCATTATGTATAGACTTGTAGAATCGTTATGTTGTGCACCTGAAACATTGCGTGTTGACTGTACTTCAATTAAAAAACAAAAACAAAAAACTAAAGTCTACTTTTTTTTTTCCTGAAGATCTAATTGGATTTATTAAGTGGTTCATGAGTCAGACAGCATCCAATCCCATGTAGGAAGTAGAGAGGAGTTCAGAAGCCCACTTTTTCAAGCACTGATATTTAAAAATAATTTTTACTATTTTATCATTTTTAAAAAGCATAATGTATGATAACTCCCTCCTCTTGTTAAACTGAGTACACCTGTGATACTGTGATATACTAAGAAATTTTTATTTGGTCTACACTCCTGGTTCTTAGCCTAAGAGCTTCTAAAACCCTTGGAATTTCTGGATGAAAGGGGTGAGAGTTACACCTTTTGTTATTCATTCGGAGCCTTTCTCAACCACACCTCAGTTTATGCTAACGAAGTAACCCTCCAAGGATGGGGGCTGGTTGCTGGAGGAACTTAAATCCCACCTCCAACCTCCAATGGCCCATGACCAGTGATATCATTTATTGATACTACGTACTGGAACTCCCCCCAAAACCCTAAACAAGGAAGTTTTGAGAAATTCTGCGGTGGTGAACACTTAAAGGAGTGGGGAAGGTGGTGTGTCCAGGAGGGCATGGAAGCTTCCAGCACCTGCTTCTGCATCTCTTTGTTTGGCTGTTCCTGAGTTGCATCCTTTATAATAAACTGGTAACATTAAATAAGTGTCTTGCATACATGATACAACTCTACCGTATCTATAAATTCTGTAAGCTGTTCTAGCAAATTACTGACCTGAGGAAGGGGTCGTGGGAACCTCTGATTTATAGTTGGCTGGTCAGAAGTCCCAGAGGCCTGGACTTGGGATTGGTGTCTGAAGTAGGGGCAGTCCTGGGACATGGAGACAGTGTCTGACACTAACTCTGGATAATGTCAGAATTGCTTGGTGTGAGGAAAACCCTGACACATTTAGTGTCAGAAGCATTGTAAGTAAAAAACAGTTCATAATAACATGGAGCACCATTTGGTGTGTGATGACTTGGGTCCATCATGATGAATATCTGTACTTAAGTGGTTTTACGGCATGATGGTGTCCTTAGGGATTACTAAATAAGACAGGGTTGTCCACCTCTCCATGGCCTCAGCTTACTACTTAAAACACACACACACACACACACACACACACACACACACACACACAAAACCCCAAATCACATTAATTCTGTGAACTCCTCCCTTTGTTCTATATGACTCTATACATATTGGCTTTTAGCAATGCTTCCCCAGTCTTTCTCTTAGGCTATTTACTGTAACCTCTTGCTAGTTTGCAGTCAGGATAAAGCCAATGCCCAAATCACCAGTAATCCTAGATGGATATGTAATTCTAAGTCTCTAGACTCTGGCCTTGAAAGTGGCTCCGTGCTGGGCACACCAACATAGCTTTATGTCAGTTAAGTACTGAATTTGTTTTACTTTATTATATTAGTTTATTTATTTATTTATGCTCAAGGAAAGTGCAATAATGAAACTTTCTAATAGAAAGCTTTATACGCAAAGAAAATACCAGTGAAGACATGAAATGTCAGGTATACTACTGGGGAACAGGAACTGGGCACTTTTACACATATTAAATAAGGTCATGTCTACTTTTGGTCTAATAAACTTCGACTGTTGGTATATTCATCTATAGAATGAGGGACAAATCTATCCTAAAATAAAGTACTGAATGTTATTATTCCTATTGTATCATATATCCAGAATTTCCTTCAATCATTTCTCAGCTCTCCGGATCACAAAATGTCAGTGAAAGTGATCTTAAATAAGTCGCAACTGCTTTTCTCAAAGAACAGAACCCACCCTCCTTACTGAAGCCTGACCCGATTTTCTCGATCAACTGCTATCTTCTCTTGGACTCTTGCTTCCACCATGGATACTGATTAGAGTAGAAAGTCTCAGGCTGGCCATCAAACACCAGAACAGCGTGGTCCCTTTTTCCTCTGCCAGACTAATCCTCCACTCTGCCTTCCTCTCCTTCTGTCCTCAGCCACACCACACACATGGTCCTTGGAACACCACCAGCCCAGGCTGCCCCAAGACCTTCAAGTTGTTCCCTCTGCCTGGATTCCTTCTCCTTCTCCTTCTGCCAGTTGAAGTCTTCCAAAACGTCCAATTCCATCCCCTCCAAGAAATACTGAGGAAGCTCTTCTATTCTCCTGGGCGTGCTCTGTCCTACCTCCCACCTCCCACCTAGCTTCTTTTTTTTTTTTTTTTAATTTTTTTTAACGTTTATTTATTTTTGAGACAGAGCATGAACAGGGGAGGGGCAGAGAGAGAGGGAGACACAGAATTGGAAGCAGGCTCCAGGCTCTGAGCCATCAGCCCAGAGCCCGACGCGGGGCTCGAACTCACGGACCGCGAGATCGTGACCTGAGCTGAAGTCGGACGCTTAACCGACCGAGCCACCCAGGCGCCCCCTAGCTTCTTGTATTAACACTCCACCGTCTGGGCTGTTCAGGAATGTATTCATCTCCTCCGCCAGACCTGGAGCCCCTGGAGAGCCCTCCACTTTCCCCACACCTCCCAGCATAGGGGCTGAGAGGAACCAAGGGAAGGGGAAGACATACACCCTGTGCAGGACAACAACGTTGGTCCCGCCCACACAAAAATCCAGACCATTGCATACTCACGGTTTCCACAGTTGAGACCACCGAGCCCAAATGGGCAACTGCAAGTCAACAAAGAAAAAGAACAAGAATTACTTTCAAAAATCAAAAGAAGTAATGGGAGGCAATCTACCCAAGTAACTTCTAAATAAGGCTTGTCACAAATGCATCAGAATATATGAGCACAGAGCCTACCTCATACAGGTTTCATTTTCAAGCCTATATCCATCTTCACATGCTGAAAGAGAAAAGGGAAATCCATGAATATGTCCCTTGACTTCCTTTGGCCCAAACTGACAGTTAGTAGACACCAGTCCCTTTAAGTCTCCAAGAATATTCTAGAACCAGAAGCCTATAAATAGCTTTAGAATTACCTAGTACCTGCCAACTCAACCTTTTATTTTACCACAGAATTTTCTTAACCTTTTAGTGGCTCTCACTTTCCCATCTATAAAAAAAGGGGATAATAACAGCAATAGTAGTATCTACCTTGTAGTTTCTTGGAAGGAATTAAATAAAATAAGGCACGTGAATGGTTTAGCAAAGCACCTGGCACATAGTTATCACCAAATAAATGTTTATAGTTATAATTATTATCCAACAAATGTAATTATTTTTGGAAGTTTTCTGTGGCCCCTGTGTTATGTCCTTCCACATACACACAGACAAATGCTTTGGTTTCTTTAATGTAAGTCAAACCTTTAACCTGCTGTTGCCCTCACTGACCCCTTCCAAGAGGAAGTAGGAGCTGTGACATCCTCTGGGACATGGTCAGGGTGGAGCTCACCCTACCGTCTGTGCAGGGGATTCTGGACATATCTAGATGAGTGCTAATCAGCACATCACCCAAGAACATAACTTTGAACCCTCTGGTGCTGCTGCTCATGGACTGAAGGGCTGTGGCCCAGCCATTCCTGGGGATCAGCAGTTTCTGAATTTATTTGATCATGGAACACTACAATAAGCTGACAGAACAGCATGAGCTATAACGCATGCTTGGATGGAAGCAGACAATAAAAAATGGCCTCATAGTCAAATTCATTGCTGCAAGAAGTGATAGGAATTTGATTCATGAATAATGTACGATATACTGCATAAAAGATGACAGATAAGAAAAGGTACACGGCATAGAGCAGCAATCCCTGGACAGACAGCACACACGCTAATGGTAAGATGTGAGTGTCGGCAGCATGCACGGATCAGGGGGTGCATGCCCTGTGGGCTGGGACAGGAGGTCTCTCACAGGCGTCCTGCATCCTCTGTTATGTGTAATAATTAGTGTGTAATAATATTAACTTACGTAGATGTGCCCAATGCTGTTCTTCCTTCTGTTTGTTTAATTTTTAATTTAATTTTTTATTTTTAGAGAGAGAGAGACTGTGAGCAGGGGAGAGGGAGCAGAGGGAGAGAGAGAAAGAATCTTAGGCAAGTTCCATGTTCAGCGCAGAGCTGGACACGGGGCTCGATCCCATGACCCTGGGATCATGACCTGAGCCGAAATCAAGAGTTGGATGTCAACCGACTGAGCCACCCAGGTGCCTGCTTCCTTCTGTTTTTAATGTTAAATGCTAAATGTTTCTAGCATCTATTTTGTTGTCCTAGATTATCGAGATATCACTAGAGTTTCGTAGAATAGTTCAGAAAACACTGCTCTAAATAATCCACAATTCTTTTATAGCAGATCATTAGAGTTGTCACCCTGGACTGCGCTGTTTTGGCTCCACAGAACCACTTTTCCTGAGCTCCATCCTCTTGTAGTAAGGGCTATTATAAGCAGCAGCCCTGGGAAGGCCCCCAGTATCTACTGCAGGATGTCACGGGCCACACTGCCACAACACCACGCAGTAACCTCTTGATGAGGACGCCCCAAAGAAATTTCTCTTGGGCCTTGGGGCCTACAAAGATGGGGATGCTTCTGAACGATTGTACTTTGTTTTATGAACCCTGACTCTCTCTAAAACCGTATTTCTCTCTTTGCCTCGGTGTCCAGAAAGCTCAGAACTTGAACGAGTGGCCTACCTTTAGCAAACATGCAGGACTTTACAGCATATCTTTCTGCATATTCACTTTCCTCTAGCTTCAGCAAAGTAGTAGCTTTATTTCCACTTCAACCTAATTTATCTTTTAAATTAAACCTTATTTAGTTTAAGTTTAGGCTTTTTAGTAGGTGCTTCCAATCTTTTTTGCAACAAAGTAGGGCATGATCATATTCCATTTAGGGGAGGAGGAACGAGCCCCTTCCCCACATCTTGGGACACCTCTGAGTTCGCTGCTGGCCTTACTCAGGTGGGGCCTTCTTAAGGAACAAGTTGAGAACTCCTGCTTCCCTGGGCACGGAAAGCACCATCCCTGGCAGTCTTCATGCTACAGTGGTTTGTGGGAGCCGGGAAGCCACTCCTGGGTACTCCACGGCTCTTTCTCCAGGGCAGCTCCACGGGGACCGCTGGCCTCCCTGTGACTCATCCCCATCCATCTCAGCACTGAGGCAGGCTGATGTCACAGCAGTCGTTCTATTCTGAACACTTCTTCCCGGAAATGTTTTTACATCAAATCTACCCACCCAGCCCTCCTCTGCTGGGTGGGAGCTTTCCATCCTGTGGCTGTCATCCTGCCAGACGTAACGTCCATCTGTTGCCCAGGCTGTGAGCTGATGGGTTGGGCTGTTTTCACTCAGCCTCAGAAGTGGCCTGACTTCCTGGTGTAACGATATTCCTTTACTTCGAATGGGCTCCTTTGGTCATTCACCAACGACAGAGTGCCACCGTGGGCCTGGTGCTGTTCTAGGGGTTCTTAGAAAGAAAGCTCCAGTGCGCCTTAGGACCCAGCTCATCATCTCCACACCCTAGTAGGACTGACCCGTGGAGCACTGGAGACAATGGAAATGTGGCAACTGCTAGTGTGTATGCCCAGATTGGGTTTCCCCTATTGACATGGAACATAAGCCAATTCAAGCCTCCTGGCCCTTGATAAAATAAGCAAGTGGTGGAGTCTTCAAGACTCTCTTGTGCCCAAGCTCTGCCATTTGCATTCTATCATATTTGCTACCCTGTCATCCAGTTGTTAATTCAACAGACACTTGTTAAACCCCACAATGTGCTAAGCATATTCTAAACACAGTTCTGGCTCTCAAGGCACCTGCTGCCTGGTGAGAGAAAGAGGCCTGCATGGCAGAAGGAAGCTAAGACACCTATGGGAAGGACACCTACTTCAATTTTGTATGATGCTTTGAACGTATGGTAAAGACACTGTGAAGATATTTCATGGGAGACATTAAGAAGTGCATACGTATGTACAACAGAGAACAATAGAGTCCTGCTAATGTACAGATTCAGAAAACACACCTACATACCTCTCTTCCCCATTTATCTGGGGACTGACCTCGGATGTGAAGTGACCAAAAGGGGGCTTTTTTAAAGAAAAAAATGTGTTTATTTATTTTGAGAGAGACAGAGAGAGAGAGAGAGAGCACGAGTGGGGGAAAAGCAGAGAGAGGATCCCAGGCAGGCTCTGAGCTGTCAACACAGAGCCCAAAGCGGCTGGATCTCAGGAACTGGAAGATCATGACTGTAGCTGAAATTAAGTGTCAGTTGGACTGAGCCAGCCATGCTCCCCAGGGACTTATTTTAAATACCCCAGTGCTCCAGCACTAATGGCCAGAAGATGTCACTACAATCCATCAGAACCCGGCCAACGGGGCTGTGCCCAAGGAGCTGCCGAAGCCATTCATCAGAGGCTTTCATCTGACGGATGAAAATGTAAGCGACAAGGATACTGCAGAAACCGAGGCTTTGTGGGGCCTTGGCAAAAAGCCCGAAAGCTGACCAAGGTTTCCTTATGCTGCATCTTAGGTCATTACCTCATAAACATAAGGTTGCTGAAGCCTGTATCCCTTCATTTGGAAAGTCTCTGACGGCCTTGCTATTGCTAATGCTAGTCTGTAAGCGACACGATTAAATTGCTGACTTGCAAACAAAGGCAAGTGGCTGGGGCCAGCGAGAAGCAGAGGTGGCAGGGCTGGCTGTCCTTGAGGCTGTGGGAAACTCCAGAGACTCCACACGCCGGTGCCACCACTCCCGTGCGCTCCACTTCTGCCCACTTTGCCCTCCCTCCTGCCAGCTACACAGCGCCCCAGCACATGGATTTTAGCAGAGGTCACCTTCCCACATGCCGCGGGACTCAATGCCCCAGTTTCCAAGAAGGGCCAGGAACACATGGCATGAAACCAGGTAAGAGGGAACTAGGAAGCATCATCTCTTTGTATCACAGGGGCAGACGGACATGTGCTGAAAAGCGCTGCAAGGCCGTCGTGCCTCAGGACTGCTGGCCGGCACACGGGGTCAGCCTCCCCTTCAAAGCCCACCGCAGGGCTTGCGTGTGGAGCAGAGGGGGTGCACTTTCAAAGCCAGTGTGTGTAAACCTAAGTCAGAGGGTCTGAAGCTCAGGACGACAGCACTGCCCCGAATGTATTTTTATCCTCTCCTGATGGAACGAGCCCTCTACTGGGAAGTCCTGATAGAAATAAATGACAAGGTCACCTTTCCCCAGTATGTGACTTTCACTCAGATTCCAGTACATCCGTCACCAGTGGGTGTTGGCCAAGCAGGAAAACTGTGTCATACACATTCTAATGTGGTACAGCGCTTAAAGCCACACCATGGCCTTTATATTGCTAGTTTTCCTGGTGATTACAAATTCTAGCAGTTGTTTGTAAGTCAGGGACACGGTGCTCGGGACTTGAATTAATTTTACTTTAAAGTACTATTCTTGCCATGCATTTACTGAGCATTTTAGTTCAAACTGAATGGATTTAAGTCTCACCTACAAGGCTACCAGGATTAGGTTTCTGCCCTCACACCCTTCATGAAACCTTTAAAACTGGAACTCATTAATTCAGCCACATCCTGGGTAAAAAACAAGGGCAAATGCTGATGGCTTTCAAAGTACCTCCATATACATTGCTTTCTTCAATCCCCAGAATATCCAATGGAGCATCAGCATACCCATTTTGCAGAAGAGGAAACCAAGGCGCAGCAAAGCAAAGTGTCTTGCTCAAGATGATACATGATCCATGAGGCAGAGTCGGGCTCTGATTCTCTTGAGCCTCAGCAGTACCTTGTCTACTAGGCAACAGCTGCCTCTAAAAGAGACAGGCCCAACTCCATGCCTGTGTTTCCATTTTCAAAGATTAGCAGACAATAGAATAAAGCTTTGGGAATTAAAACAACAATTTTCCTAACTTCCTCTAAAAAAAAAAAAAAAAAAAAAAAAAAAGGCACTGCCATAGTCATTCCATTCTCTCTTCTTTTCCTTTGAATTTGATTGGCCAGACCCGTTTGCGCAGGTCAGAGATAATGCTATTATTCTAAGGAGATAACGCATTCAATCCTGCTGTGAGCAAAATAACAAGAACTAGTTACCCCTAGTTTAGAACAGTCACACCTAGAGCAGAGAAAAACATCTTCCCTGCCCCTGCCCGGGCCACAGAACCCTCGGGAACTTGCTGGTACCTCGGCAGGAGTGATCCATCTTGTTGAATTGGAAGTAGCCTGACTTGCACTGGCACAGGGCGACACCGTCCAGGTCAGTGCAGATGGAGGTCTCCTTGTCACATTCCGGAGTCTTCCGCTTGCACAAGCTGCCCGCTAAGATGAAAAAACAAGACAGTGAAACAAAACAAGACCTCCTCCACTGCAAACCTCAAGATACATCAACTTTCTATTTAAAGAGGCTCTGAGAACAGTTTCTGAAAAGTGCCTGGTACAAGTCTCCTTTCAGGGGCCCGCTTTTAGCTGCCTTGGCCACTCACTCCTTCCCTGTGTCAGCCCCAGGCCTCTGTACTCCAGGTCACACCGCATGCTATGGGACAGAGGACCCAGACAGAAGAAACAGGGTGCTGTCTCCAACCCCGGCAGCCACCGTAAATATGGCCCTCGGTGCCATGGTGTCTTCCGTGCCTGCGTCCTAACAGACTGCGGGGGAGAGCCAGCACTGAGCCAGGAAAGATGATCGTGTCTTTCTTAGGAAGCCGTGAGGCTCAGACCTGTCTCAGCGGAGGCACAGCTCTGGGTCTGCTCTGTGTCTACATGACCTAACGGGAGGCTGTGCACTCCTCTGGCAGGACAGCTTGCTGCCCACAGACCTATTCCAAGGGTCGGTGTGGAAGACAATCAGCTGCCCCAGCACTGTGGTGTCATTGTGTTTCCTGTGTCCCCACTACACTGGCCATTTCTTGGGGCTTACTCATCTCCGGGGCTTCAGCACCTTGCACAGCACTTGCACACACAGTGCTCAATACATGCATGCTGAAGGTGCTTCAGGTCACCAGTCACCAGGCCATCACCACGGGAGACAGAGCTGGGTAGAGGAATGCGCCTTTCTGGCTTGCTACCTCCTTCCCTTTAGGGCCTTATTTTCTACATGTGTATCTACTTGGCTTGTCCAGCTCTGGGTATGTGGGCCATGCTCATTTCATGGATGACAAAGAAGTATCTCCTTGTTGTCAAAAAGCACTCATTGTTGGGCATGTGGCCCTCTCTGAGGCTGCACACAGTAGACCCTCTCTGTATACACGAGACACATAATGAGGGCATGTTCACTAAGACACGCCTGACGAAAAGGCACATGTAAATGGGGGCACACGGTAGAACAAAAATGCACAACTAACTGGATAGTGGACAGTAACTTCTTCACAGCCAGGTATACAGCAAGGCAGGACTGACATCTGCTCTTGCTGCAGGGAGGTAAGAGCAAGTTCACGACCAGGAGAGCTGCCGAAGGGTGATGTGTACACCGTGCAGTGAGGCCTGGTCTCCCTTTTCCCATCTTAAGGAAGACACCAACCTATTCAGAAACCAGGTACTGGTTCTTACCATGGCAAAACTGCCCCGACCGTGGTGATGTGAGCTGACACCCACACAGGGTCCCCATAGCCGCCTCCTTTTCTGAGTCCCGAGAGCTTGGGACCTAGGGGACAGCCTGGTCACAGGGAGGCGAGCTTAGGACACAGCCTTTAGTTTTCAACACTGCATTTCCTGTCTTTATCATTGGAAGCTGGTGTGCTAAATCAAAACTCAGCTTGTGTGTGCGATAGAATTTCCTTTGTTTATTGTGAAAGTTGGTATTTAAAAGAGAAAAATAAAAAATGGAAAATCTCACCAGACAAACTATAAAGCTGGCATCAGAGAGGTACCAAACACCCATAATTCGTCATCTAAACTTTTGGAAAGCTTTGCCAGTCCTCAAGCTTTAATATACAGGAATACTTCCAGGGTAAAAGGCTGGCGCTAGCCTTGTCCAGTAGCCAGACTGAGTTGCCTGGCCTGATTAGATATTTTCTGGAAGTCAATGTCACATTTTCCGTCCATCCTGCCCATCAATCCAGCCTGCTGACAAATACTACTCGCCCTGCTGAAGCAACCCTTCCCTACAACAAAGCAAAGAAGCCAGGCCTTGCCTCTGCAACAGTGGAGTTGCTATCCTAAAAATCCTTAAAGAACATTCTGCCATAAATCCATCAAATGCAACCACATATAATCCCATTTTCATTTTAAGCCTGGCGATGTGATTTTTCTACATCCACAATTCCCATGGTCTTTTCTGGGCATAACATCCGCCTGACAGACAATGAGAACTTATGTAAATCTAAGGCTGAGACACTCCTTGGGGGATTTCCAAAGACTCTAAACCTCTGGAGGCATTAGAGCTGCAGCTCTTTGGAAGTTGAGGAAGTGGACATTTTGCAAACTGCAGGGTGAAAACCTGCCTTTGCAAGGGCAGCGTCCAGAGTAGCCCAGCATACCCATGTGTTGGAAACACCCAAATATCAGAACCTGACAGCTCCTGCCTGTCAAGGCTACCTCTCCAGCACTCAGAAAGGGAGCAAAGAGACAGAGTTGGGTATGTTGGCAAAGCCAGGAGAAGAACTGGGAGGAAAACCAGAGAAGTGAGCCTGTTTTCAGCCAAGAGGCATGGCTGTCTTTGTTTTCGAGGGCTCTGGAAGGAGAGGTACAGAATGGGGACCAGAAGCACATGTAGGGGCAAGAGGCCATGTGAGAAATCCTCTCAGTTTTGCTGTGACCCTAACGCTGCTCTAAGAAAATAAATAAATAAAATCTAAAAAAACAAAACAAAGAATGGGACCTCAGCAAGGAAGCTAGGAAGCTAGGGGCTTTCCCATAGGCCACATCCAAATAAGAGAAAAAAATGGGGTCAGAGTGGGCAGGCCTGCCATGAGCAGGATCTTACAAATCCAAGTATGTGGCCACTTGATTTGCAAGACATGAAACACATTTGCTGGGGACATAAAACTAACCTGGTACTATGCTGACCATATAGGATGAACTTTATTTTTTTAACGTTTTTATTTATTTTGGGGGGAGAGAGGGAGAGAGAGAGAGCACACACACACAAGCGGGGGAGGGGCAGAGAGAGAGAGGGAGACACAGAATCCAAAGCAGGCTCCAGGCTCCAGGCTCTGAGCTGTCAGCACAGAGCCTAACGCGGGGCTCGAACTCATGAACCATGAGATCATGACCTGAGCTGAAGTCGGACACTTAACTGACTGAGCTACCCGGGGGGCCCCTAGGACGCACTCTTTAAGTGTTTAGTGAATGAAAAGGTCCCCTTCCTGCTAACTAGAGATGAAAAACTGGGACCCTTGAATCACTGGCAAGAGAAACAAAGAAGAGCTCTTGCCTCAAAGTTTAGAGCACAATATAATGGGGCGTAAACTTTTTAGTTAATTCCCCAATGATGCTAAATGACAGCAACTTCAATTCCAGAAAGTTCAGCTCCTTTCTTCCCCCATATGAATAACTAGCCTTGAAAGGAGCTAAAGCTACAGCATTCACAAGGTTATGCTCCCAGCTCCCCAGCTCTGCCATGCACAGGCCTGTGAGAAGAGCCCTGTGGATCAGCGCTCAGAAAGCCCTGAGCCCCTGGGAATGCCCTGGATCTTCCAGCAGAGACAGCCCCAAACCTGCTCCCTACAACTTACATCCAGCGTCTGGACACCAGATGGAGAGGCTCAAAGAGTCTACATCCTTTTCTAGTCCTAACTGTCTAGCACAGGGAGCTAACCAGAGCTCACTCTGATCACTTACGAGACAGCAGCAGGAATAAGCCTCCTTTGTGAGGAAGCAACTTTAATTCTAGCAAAGTTTTCCCAACCCAGAGGCAAAACTTCCTCTCCAAGATCCAAGTCTGCCTTCTGAACTCCTTGTCTATAATCCCTCTCTGTATCTACTTCACAGTAGATGTACTGCAGAAGTTTTGACGAAGCAAATAAAGCGAGAACAAGAAAAGGGAAACCAGCGAGTAGTCTGGCCTACATCGTTCTGGTCTTGTTTCTGTGCATTGGTGATTTGCAAACACACGAACAAGATGGGTAATACTGCCCATGCTTTTTTTTTTACTTAGTGGACTATCACGATGAAGGTTTGGGGTATTGATAAGCATGTATATTCTGTGCAGGAATTTCTGTTTCCCTCAGAGAGAGCTGGAACTTTTTAAGGTAAAGAGGAATGATTTCATCGCATCAGCTCCTGTATCCCATCATCTCTTATACACCAGTGAAGAAGAGGAGACAAAAAAGAGGCAACATGCCAGAACCCGGTGACTTCAAGGCTATGTGTGTGTGCACGCACACATGTACAAAGATAGACACACAAAGGCCTTTCGCTTAACACCCATTTTTTTTAAAGTTTTCATTTATTTTTGAGAGAGAGAGAGAAAGTGCGAGCAGGGAAGGGGCAGAGGAAGACAGAGTGAGAACCCCAAGCAGGCTCCACACTGTCAGCGGGGAGCCTGATGCGGGGCTCAAACCCATGAACTGTGAGATCATGACCTGCACCAAAGTCAGACCCTTAGCAAACTGAGCCACCCAGGAGCCCCAGCACCCATTTCAAAGATAGACTGGCTCTGTGATGAACTTCTTGAATCTGAGCCCCGAGTGCCTTACATATCTATCCTAGGTCTGTGCCTAACTGTATAGGCGGGGTTCTCCCAAAGGGCCATTCTCTTACCTCTGAAGATCCGCCTCTGAGATCCCAAGAGCTGGCAGACCTCAGCAGAGGACCTACAGGAGTTGACACATTTCTGCATCCCGTCAGCCAAGTCAAACAGTGTCACATTGGAGGCCAAGGAGAACGTGGTTTGCAGGGACATGACCACTGCACTGGACTCCCTGTAGACAAAGTGTGTAGAGTTTTAACTGTCCTAAAATGACATGTGGGCCCAGGGCTTTTAGAAAATGAATCCATCTCCGTTCTCCAGGAAGGGAATGGGAGAGCATGGAGGCCCAGTGACTTTGGCCCCCCTGGTCACTCTGTGGCTTGGTCAAAACAGAGCCCAGTTTAGTTGCTGTCACCTATGTTAGAATAGCCTCCCTTTATGAAAACTGGTTCACAAGTGAGAGTAATTCTGTTACTTACCTAGAAGCATGAACTGTGGATCGGGTATAACCAGGAAACATTGAAAAACACACATTTAACTGAAAGGAAGAACAGGTTGGTCGTTAACTGTGAGATAGATAAAAGCCCTAGACCTAGAACCAATTTCCTATTTTCAGGATAAAATAGGCATTTTCTAGCTATCAAGTTATCAGCAGGCAGCTTTACAGAGGAGTGGTGTCCTTTTTTTATTCCCTTCTTAAATGCCTCTCTGCTCTTGTTCTGTTGTTCCCTGAGTACAAAGGGAAAGAGGCAGATAGTAAATCAGTGGGGAAAATCTTGGCAGGAAATGATGTTCAGAACAGCACCCTTGGATGCAAAACATCTTCAAAGGAACAGATCTCTTCTAAGACCCAGGGTTTCAAAAAACTCAGAGGCAACTGTTTATTTGGACTTTGCAGAGTGAACGAGGCTCACTGAAAAGACTTCAGCTACCCCCGGTCTGGCAGGCCCGACACAAACCCCTCATAATCTGCAGTGAGTTGACCTAACTCAAAGATAGGTCCTCTTCAAAAAGGCTCTCCATGGGAAATTACATTACATGGGTCAAGAGCCCCTTTGTCGAGAGCAAATTAAGAGTGACTCTCCCTGTGTTTGCCTTGTGCCCTCAGAGAGAGCAGAAAATCCCTCTAGGGCATCAAGTTCCATGCCTGTTTTTCTGCTCCCCCAACAGTGGAGGCTGGAGATTCCTTCTATGCAGCGGAAGGTTGTAATACCTTGACCTATGCAGACATACCTGTCTTCAAAGCCTTTGTGTCAGACACATTTACTGTTCATGAGATGGAATGAAATATAGGATGTTATCAAACATTTGGCTTTGTATGACATTGCTTTCTATTCTAATAGGCAATGATTTATTAGTAGTATAATTACTTAAACATTTTTCCCCAGGTAAAAACAGAAAAGGCACATTTCAGAACAGAATGGTATCTTGGGAAAGGCCACTTGAAGTGGCTTCTCTAGTCTAGTCTAATCTATGGAAGTGGGGATGTCACATCACTAGTAAATTATACACTCATACCTGGTGAAAATGAACAAGTTAAGTAAGTCACTGAGCACCGTATACTGGGAGGGACAGCACCTCTGCACAGGGTTCTAAGCCCCTGTACTCCCTTTGAAGGAAATATTGACCTATAGCACACCCAAGAGGCAGCTGTGGTGAAGTGACAAGAACACCAGGTATAGGGCTTGTAGACATAAAATCCTGCTGTATAGTAAAGAATTTAATCTTGCTCAAACAGAGGTCTGGCCCTTGGCTCCCAGAAGCTAATCAATAAGCTTTTGGAATATCCTTTGTCTACCTGGAGGCCCTGGGCCACTCCAAATATCTAACAACGTGATTTATGCAGGGGTTTGGGGTTATATGGTATCAGCCTAATCTCAAGAGGGGCTGGAGACTGAGATCAGCCATGTGAGCGGTTGAATATGTCCATATATTTGCTCTAGACACCAAGATTCAAGTGAGCTTAGCAATATTCCATGAATACTGTATACATCATTGTCAAGAGGAGTTAACACAGTGCATGGCTCCATGGGGATAAGACAACTGGATGCATCAAATTTGGAATCCTCCTTGACTCTGCCCTATGTGTCTCTCCCATAGCTGATTGTAACAGGGACCTTTTCACTGTAATAAACCATAACCGTGAGTTTAAGAGCTTTCACTGAGATCTGAAGTCCTTACAGTGACTATCAAATCTGAGGGTGGTCTTGGGGATCCCAAGACTTGCAAATGGTGTCAGAAGTGAGGCTGGTCTAGTAGGCTATTCCCTAACTTTGCATCTGCTCTGTGTGAACTCAGGCAATGTCATCAACCTTCAGGGCCTCCCCAAATTCTAGCTGTAAATGTGCTGGCAATACCTCTTACAGGAGTGAGGCATCTGGCAAAGTGCCTGTCATAGACTAGATGCTCAATAGATACAAAGACAGAATTGGAATCTAAATGTTATGCAAATAAAATCTACAGTCCTATAAAATCCTATAGGTTTTGGCTAATATACTCTTACATATAAAAAACAAGTAAAACTGAAATCAGAAATCAATTAATCTCTAAAACTTATACTAATGGCAATTTTCAATGTTCTGAACACCAAATCTTAGACTCGGGTAGCAGTTGAGAGGTAAATTTACTATTTGGGCTTCTTTTTTTTGAAAGAAAGAGCAAGAGCACAAGCGGGGAAAGGGCACAGAGAATGGAGGATAGAGGATCCGAAGTGGGCTCTATGCTGACAGCACAGAGCCTGATGTGGGGCTTGAACTCATGAACCGTGAGATCATGCCCTGAGCCAAAGTTGGATGCTTAACTGGCTGAGCCACCCAGGGGCCCCTGAGCTTCATTTTTATCTCGTTTTCCTTCTTTTTAATTTTTCCTTACTTTTTCCACCTGACAAAAAGTAGGCAAAGAGGGAAAGAAGAGGAATCAAAGGCCTCTCGATAATCTTTAAAAAAATTTTTTAATGTTTATTTATTTTTGAGAGAGAGACAGAGTGCGAGCAGGGGAGGGTCAGAGAGAGAGGGAGACACAGAATCCAAAGCAGACTCCAGGTTCCAAGCTATCAGCACAGAGCCCAACGCAGGGCTCCAAGTCACGAACCATGAGATCATGACCTGAGCCGCAAGTCTGATGCTTAACCAACTGAACACTGAGGCTCCCCAAAGGCCCCTAGATAATCTGTGCAGTGAGTTCTCAACCCTGGAAAATCAGGATTAACTGTTATGTCTTTGGCATTCTCCTGAGGAAAAAGAGCATCATTCTCCCCAAGTTTGGAAACACAGAGCGAAAGTCACACAGCATGTCAGCTGCAGATGGGAGAGTAGGATTTTCTGGATCTTTCCTCTTTGCCAATAGTTCTTATTGGTGCATACCATCTAACCGTCTGTGACTATGAATCTGCACAGGGAAAAGAAACACCAAGGCACTGATAAAGGCTGCATGTGAGAGCACACCGAAGAAGTGCTTCTCCTGGGTGTCACTGGATCTCAGCACCTCCTTTCAACTTCCAAGAGGCTTTTAATTTTACCATGAAGTTTACCTCCCAAATGTAATGGAAATGAACAATAGCCCAGGAAATATAGCTGGTCCTCACGAGGTTCCCAGTTCTGAATGAAATTTGTTCTAGAAAACAAAGGACTCAAAGAAAGATGCTTTTCAGGAAACTTACTGTTCTGGTGATCTCATTTTCAACTTCACGTAGGTCTGAGTGTTTCTCCATGGTGGTATTGAGAAACGTTTTCTTTAATTTAAACTCTGTCACGAAGGTCCTAACTGAAAATGAGAACATAACCCGTGAGACCACGCAACTGGCCGACTGATACATAGCCGTGTGTTTGTAAATCTCTAGCATATCACTCTTAACTCCACCTCGCAGGACAACCGTGGTGCCTGTCCTTCTCCTTGAGGATAGAGAACACCTCTCCCTCTTCTAGCTCCTCTCTAGGAAGGTGGGCTTCCACTGAGCACAAGGCTCAGACTCAGTAAAGCTTTGGGTCAAAAACTCCTTTTGCACGTGTGTGTGGGCTGCTGTGAGGAGCCATCCTGCCACCTTGCCAGTCGCCTCCTACACAGTAGATGCTCAGTGAAGCTGGGACAAGGAGGAAAGACCAGCTGGCCTAAATGACATAATCCCAGGAGGAGGGGGAGGGGATGTGGGGTCAAGCACAAAACATGCTCGTCAGGCCTGAGAAAGCTTTCGATAGAGGAACGCTGTTGTTCTCTAGCCTACACTGCAAAGCCCTCAGCTTCAAGGGCAGGCTTTGGTTTCCTCTTCTCATCAGAGTTACCCCACCAGCCGCCATCCCTCTCGCATAGAGGAAATGCCCATTTTGTCGCTGATGAAAGAGACTTCCAGAAATCGGACAACGGATTCAGGACGACAGAGAGGCTGTGGAGGAAGGTGCCAAACATCTGTAGTGGGCCCAAGCTGCGGGGACTGCCAGGCCCCATGGTCACAAGCCAGGCAATGCAAATGACCCATATTCAAGATATTGTTTGAGTTCAGACCTGAAAGAAAGCAGCCCCATTTTCAAGGCCCATTTCACTCATAAAATAAAATCATACTCATCACTCTGTGCTGACTGGGCCTGAGGAGAATGGGACTTACAAATGGGCAGGCGACCAAAAATTAGCATAGCATGCTTTCTATCTGCCTCTTATCTTCCTTTATATTAAATTCTTATCTTTCCCTCAGGACAGGGTGGGAAAAAAAAGACTCGAAACCCGGGAACCCACGAAGCTGCTCTTTCACAGAAAGCTTGCCTGCTGAATTAAGAAAAAGGCCCACAAATGAGCCAGGGAACACATTTAACATCTTATACTTACTGTCTAAAGCCCTTAATCCTTATTTAACATCTTTTTGCTTGTTCTACAGTTCACTGAAGCCAGCTGCTTAGGACTCTTTCTGAGCAGCAGGGAGCTCTTTGAAAACATTCTTGGCCAAATGAAAGCATTTCAGCATGCTCTAATTTGCATGTTCCTCTGATGTTTATGAACAATGAAGCTAAATGACTTGAAAAGGGAAAGATGATTGTTAACACAAAAGAACGGCTCTCCTCCTGATCTGAGGTGCCTGTGGGACACTGCACACAGGCTTCCACAACTCCCACCCCACTCCTTCATCTTCCTTTCTCACCCATCCAGGCTGATACCCAGACTCTCTGGACGGAAATATACATATTGTAACTGTTACGTACACAGATCTCTTCCGAATCATGACAGTAAATGTGGCCTCTGCTTTAAGAGCAGCTCTGAAGACGGCATCACGCCGCGTCCTGCAGCCCCTGCACTCTGCCCAGCACACTGACGTCTTCATGCCTGCCTTTCATCATCTGGCTTTAAGGCAATTTTTTACTTCACATGCAACTAACTGCTGACTTATATGGGTTATATAAATGGTTTTTTTCATTATTTATTTTTATTTACTAAGTTTTTAATTTCAATTCCAGCGTAGTTAACATAGTGATATATTCATTCCAGATGTCCACTATACACTTCCACGCATCACCATGTGCTCATCCTGACAAGTGCCCTCCTTAACCCCCATCACCTATTTTACCCATCCCTGCCCACCTCCCTCTGGTAACCATCAGTTTGTTCTCTATAGTTAAGGGTCTGTGTTTTGGTTTTCCTCTCTCTTTTTATAGAAATGAATTTTTAAAAGATCCATAAGTATTACTTTGTATTCAGAGTACTTAGTGTTTTCATTGCTGTCAATTCTGGTCCAAGAGGTTGGGGGCTAGTGTTAAATGATACCTCCCATCTGGAGAACTCCCCCATTTTCAAAGCTTGCTCAGATACTTCATTTTATTTGCTCTTCACAATAACCTTGAGTGGGAAGCAGAGCAGGTGGTAATCTGATTTTACAGATGAGAAAATGGAGGCTCAGGGGTCATGGGGCTCAG